CTCCACTCTCTCCTCAGAGTTGAGAGAGGGCACAGCGCTGGCAGCTTCTGTGCAGCCAGCTGGACGAAAACATGCCCAATTAGCACTGCTGGGCCAGACCGAGCCACATCAGGTCAGAACAACCTGGGCAAGAACTGGTGGGGGTCTGCGATTAGGACCATAGACTGTATATTATTAGCAGAGGTGGGAAAAGTACCGGTACTCAGATCTTGTACTTAAGTGAGTCCTGCGATCAAAATGTTATTCAAGTAAAGGTACAAAAGTACTGGCATCAAAATATACTGAAAGTACTCATTATGCAGATCCATTTCATAATAATATATGTTTTGATTATAATTATTAATGCGCTAGGGTGCAGCTAGTTTAAATGACTTTGTATACTGCATGGTAGCTTGTGAATTGACTCCAGGTGTAACTAGAGTCTTATTTAAGTGTTTATTGTATTTCACATCTTTAATCCAAATCTGCAAAGTAGCTAAAGATATTAAATAAATGTAGTAAAAGTACGCAATTTAGCTCTGAATTGTATTGGAGTAGAAGTACAAAGTAGCATAATTGTAACACTCAAGTAAGATACGAGTATCTCAAAATTGTTGTTGAGTAAATGTATTATTTACTTTCCACGCTGATTAATAGGGCATGAAGTATCCACTCTTCTTCATGGACAGGATGAATTTCACAGTCACAAACTTTAATTATTGTTAATCAAATCTCCGTATTGATAAATGAAGAGTGGACTCTGGGGCACTCTGTTAATGCAATTACAAACAGTCGAGCACACACCACATGCTCGCACAGCCGCACACACACACACACACACACACACACACACACACACACACACACACACACACACACACACACACACACACACACACAGTGTGTGTGTGCGTGTGTGCGTGTGTGTGTGTGTGTGTGTGTGTGTGTGTGTGTGTGTGTGTGTGTGTGTGTGTGTGTGTGTGACAATATCTTGATGCCTTGAGTTGAGTCCTTACGATGTATGTGAGGCAGCTGCATTGATTCGAATTTCATAATGTTGTAAATGTTGTAAGTAGAGCAGGCATACTATTCAAAATATCAATTTCCCTCTTGCAAGAAGCTGCAGACAAATGAAATACAGAGGATGATAGGCTTTTAATTCAGGCGTTGACCCTCATCAGAAGTAACATTTCGGTAGACTAATGAAAACCAAAGTCTTTATGATTTCCATCTAAACCACCAGAGGCTTTTTTATTCTGCATATGCAATTCATGATATTATACATTGAATTGGACATTACACAACATTACATTTGCTTATATAAGACTATATAACCCGGCTCTTCAGGCGCTCAGCTGCTGTGGCAACTTGGAGTGGGGAATTGTTGATTAAACATTGTCTGTTTTTAACATTATTCAGACTCAGCTTGCTGAGCTTAAGCTTCTTTTAAATGTTGATAAAACAAGGTAATGCTCTTTTCAAAAGCTAAAAAGACACCAGAGCCTGTTGTAGATATGGTTACTATGCAAGGACAAGTACTTGAAGTGGTTACCTGTTATAAATACCACACACACAC